CTGTATTGGTTCTTCCCTAAAAGGTGGATTTTCCCTATTAGAATGTGATAACCTGCATGATAAGAAGACAGTGACATTGGCTCATGTTAAGGCTAACCTGACATGTCATATTAACTGCATGGTAAGTGTAATTATTACTGTCATTTAAACTTGCTGGATGAGTCATTAAGACTGTATTAATAGCATAGTTAAGGTTTCCATTTGCCAGCATGATCAGAATGCAGCGACTGAGGAATACACATGGCAGTGTACAGAGAGATCATACTGGAGATCTGTCACACTGGCCTGTATGGACTCGACAAGTATCGTAAACACATGGATCAGATTAACACTGGAGTGTACAGGCATCCCTATCCAGAACGCATACAGGAAAACACTGGCAACTTTCCATACATTAAACATACCACAAACATTGTACATGGTGCCCAATCAGCGCTGAACCCATTCGGCACAACAATAGCATTATTTGATTTCCAACTCATCAGTGGGCGGGAAGGGGTGCTAATGCTTATGATTAATTCCAAACTGCCCATTGTGGATAATACAGCTCCTATACAGCAACCCCATGCGCTTATCCAATGTGCAGAGGATCGCACAGCAAATCGGGGAACACGAGTCTCCTCTGCAGTTGTAGAACTCCAAGTCCCAGCATTTACAGACTGCCGGGTCTATGCTGGGACTTGTGGTATCACATCAGTTGTAGATCTACAGGTTGGATACCCCAATCTGATCTCTAGAACTGGCATGTCTTACCTCGTCTTGGTCCGCTGATGCTTCTCTGGATCAGAGTAAGTCCTGTCCACAGCTATCCCCTTATCACTGCACAATAGACAGCCAAAGCTTGTCTTCCTCCTTTTGCTCTCCCCTCCGGGAGATATAAGGCAGCTGTTAGCACGGCCACATAATAGATCAGCTCGGTGATGTACCAGCCTCTGCGGGCGCCAGGCAGGAGAAGGAGTAGATGTGGGGCCAGATCGGCGCTGTGAAAAACAGCTACCGCGAGGTCCCCAGCAGGCTGCCTGAGGTTTCCAGCAAGCGCGGGACCTCAAGCAGCCACTCTTGTTTAAAAATGTAATGGGCCAGTATCGGCCTTTAATATCGGGGGATTTTCACAAGTACTTGTGAAAATGCCCTGTATCAGCCCCGATACTGATACTAGTATCAGTATTTGGACATCCCGAACCTAAACGAACAAAAAATACATCCGATAGTTGGGTGTTGACTGTATTCTGAGGGCTTTGGCCACCTTAACCCTTTTTCAGACCAAAAAGGACTATATCTGTAACCATACCCTTTGATAATTATGTCACACTCCAGATAAAGTCACTTAAACAATATAAAATCATGCTACTAGAATCCCTCATCTTTTAATTTTCATGTTTTCTTCAGAGCAATGGATCAGGCTCATTCACAGATAGATTACCAGTTCATCAATGCTCAATTTTCCTCCCATCACAGAATAGGTTCTGTTTGTGTGTAGAAATGGTGAAAAATAATGCTGGAAATTAAACTCAGGATGGGCTCAAACATAAGGTGTAGTAGGCATGCATCTACAGGCACTATTTGGCCAAATGTACCCTTTTCCTATTTAAAGGTTCCCAGTGCTTAGAGGCAAAGTGGTGGCTTTTCCTTGCATATCAGCAACACATTTTAGTCCTTTATCAGTAGAAATAAAACATCTTATATAAGCCTATTTACAAACTTTTTACAATATTCTCAGCCAGGTTAGAATAGGGCTTAGAGTAGGGCCAGTACACCAAGGAAATGGTCTGTGTATTTGAGGTTATGTTAGCAGGGAGGTGTTGCTTTGAGTGCCAAAAGTTGTGTGCCTGCATGCTTCAGTGATGAAAACCTGGCAGGAAAATTACTAATCATGACCAATAATTTAGAAATATCCTAAACTTGCTGTAGCTGTCCTTTCCAAAGTGGAAAGGACATGGCACAACTGTGAGTGCCTATATTCGTGGCAATTTTTATTTTAAACTTTATTGAAGATATCAGGATACTTTGTTCATTTTATTAATCAAGGTCAGTGCTTATAATGTGTATAGAGCTAACGGCTAATGAAATAGAAAGGAATCACCCTTTGCATTATGCAGTGATGTTCTTGCGTGATCTGTGAGAAACAAGAAATTTAAATACCACATTGTCTTGGAAACACTAGGCATCCAATCAATCGCGTTCCTGCACTGGCTACATTTGAGACACTCATCAGCTCTCCCTATTTCTGTGTCTCTCCCTGTGCTGCTGGCCGCCTTTTGTTTGCTCACTAATTGCTATTTAAGGTGGCTCATCAAGAGATGTTAAGTAGCAAATGTATAGAACATGCACATCAAAGGCGCCCTTTCAGAAAAAAAGGTTTGAGTGATCTATTTCCAACTAGACATAAGAACATTTTTGTATGACTTAATAAAGTCCACCTGTGACAATGAGACTGTCACAGGTCGGCTCAGTAGACCGGGAGGTGAGCGAACACATACCGCCGTTCGCTCACCTCTCGATCCTGTCACGGCTCTCTGCCGTGACAGGGGGAGGGACTGGATTCCCCCTCCCCGCTCCGATCCGCCAGCGCTGACTGGCGGAACGTACGGGGGAGGGAGCGGGTACAGCTGGCTCTGCCTCTAGATAGGCAGAGCCAGCTGTAAGTCACGCAGCTGGGCGGATCCAGACATAATTGTCGGGATCCGCTGCGGTGTCTTGGTATACCGCGAGCAGCAGTTTGCGCTATACTGCGGCATCTCAGTATACCGCGAGCTACAGCTCGCGGTGTACTGTGCCTAGGGTGACGGGAGGACGCTAGTTTGTGTCCACCCGTTACCCTAAGGAGAACTATGGGGAAAAGCCTTAACCCCATAGTTCTCCTTTAATAGCATTAGTAACATTTTGATAGGGGGAAAGTGAGATTACCCACCTCTAAACAGATGAGCTTTGTAGGTCACTATTCTTTTCTTCACTCTACAGATCTGGAAACCTTTAGGTTACATAAGAGTATCTACCATAGATATATAACAAAACCATTTAAACATTGCCATCTAGTGACCGAAAATGTATACTGCAGAAGTTGTTGCTAAACAGTAATGTTTATTCTAACAATGTTACACTGAAAACTGTTATGCACAGCCTCGTCTAATGCTGTTGTAAATATCATGTCAAAGCAACCTTTCTAAAGTGGCCTCTGTGCTTCCATTGGGAGTCCAGTGTAAACTAGATGGAATGTCAGTACGTCACATAGAGGTCCAGTGTCTCCACATGTACAGTATGTCTGTGCTTAGTTTGAATGTCTCATTTTGATATATTATCATATTTATTTCATATGTCTATATACCGTTGAATATCCTCTGCTCAGGAACAACAATCATCTAAATAAAATTCCAGCTTCAGCCAAGACTTTGTTTTGTTTTCATTTTAAATAGCGTGTGGAAGGATGAGAACCTCTGTCAACTTTTTATGTTGTATCTATCCTTGGTGTCAGACACAACAGGAAGTGAGGGGAATTCCCACCAAATGGGACGCAGGCCTTAATAGAATTACATTCCCTAATAAAGTGAGGGAAATTTAGGACCATCCCTCTAAAGGGAGGCAGACAGAATTTAAAGCCTGACATACATGCTAGGCTTTCTTTCCTATAGACAAAGCTTGAAGTCTAGAGTTGGGCTCTTTAATAAAAGCTTGAACATTCCATGTAATGGTTGGAGCAATGCTCAGTGTGCACCGGTGTTCTAACATTAAAAATCACAGGTTTTTCTTGTCGCATGCACATACTATGTTGTGTACAGAGGCAAAATTATGATTGGTGCATTTGTAAATATTTAGATCTTGTGCATCCTACTGAAAACCTAAAGTTCAAATGAATCTTGCTTTGGACTTTAAGGCTTCAGTTTAAATCAGCTTAATACATTTCAGGCACATCAAAACAAAAGGCTTTCAATGTCTTAGAGTGTTTTGTTTCTAAAAACAAAAAGCCACAGCATGAGTAGAAAAGCCTATTCACTGCAAGCATGGTGCAGAGTGGGACCCTTGCTCTTTGTGTGCAAGCAGTGATCCACACTGCTGAAAAAGGCTTAAAGTTCTGCAATCAACAAAGCTCATGCTCACCAATGATTTGAGAGCTCAGACTGTGACTGAGCATGGAGTGCGTTGGACCTCTGTAGAGAGAGAGCAATGATCCCACTCTGCAGCATGCTGAAAGGGGACAGGCTTTTCTATGCAGGCTGTGGCTGTTATTAAATAGAATAAACTGTAATCCTTTGCACACTTTTTTTATTAAATCACTATGGAATGTATTTAGCTAACTTAAACTGAAAGTGCAATTGGACTTTAATATGCATCCTTACCTATTTATTAAGCAGATGTGCTGATCCACATTACCCATCCCATTTGGCCTTTAAATGTACACCCCAATCCGACTGAAAATTAAACATTGACATGCTTACAGGGAAAACAAGCTTTCTGCTCAGTGCTGGTGATGTGAGAAACTTTGCTTGTGATGCAAGAGAGCTGATCCCAAGCACACGCACAGTGTGAATACAAGTATTGAAAATAGTTGTATGACTCTGTGAGGTGCACTCTGGATTCTGCGGTTGAATACAGAGAACTCTGATTAAAGGGAACAAGGGCTGGTAAAATGGAGGCCGCAACTGCTGATCTGTCTTCCCTTCACTTGCTGAACACTTGTTTCAGGTGAGTGACTCAAAGTATTAAAGTCAGAGACAGCCAGGCAACTAGTATTTATCCAAGGAGGTCAGTAATGGCAGCCTCCATATTTCTTTCAGTATAGGTTTCCATCAAGATAAACCTAGTGGAGTTTCTGACTTTAGTAGAGCTGCACCATTTGCTGGATAGCATTATCATTATGCTGGATCTCACAGTGACCAGTCCCTTGACTGTCACAAATGAGCAGGTTACATTTAGAAGATACACACATTCAAGATGAATGCTATTCATTTCATTAGGATGTACTGCACCTTATCTTCTCTTTCTTCTTTTCCATTTTTTTCCAGGTAACTCCTGGCAGCAAAGCAGCACAATCCAATGTAAATCAGGGAGACTTGGTGGTGGCCATCGATGGAGTAAGCACAGATGGCATGACTCATTTAGAAGCACAGAACAAGATCAAGTCAGCCAGCTACAACCTGAGTCTCACCGTACAAAAGTAAGTCAGCTTTTGCTGGAGAGATAGATGTAAACACCATGTGAATGCATGGCTAATGAGCCTATTCAGCTAATTATGTTTGGCTGTCTATAAAGTTACAGTTTGATGGTGCAATCTTTATACAATTTTCTTAGGGTTTAGCAGAATTGTATGTACTGGTAGTGTTTACCAAAATAAATCAATCACAGCCCAATTAGAGCCCCCCCCCC